GAACTTACTCGAATCATATATGCACATATTACTTGCATGCGCTTCAGCCACAGGTAGCTCCTCAAGAAATTCCCGGGCGTATGCGGCAGCAGTTGCTGCCGCATACCTCTGCCATTCTTTACCCTTGTGGGAGTCTGAGTAGTCACAGATTCCCCGGATCGGGAGACAAGGAAGAATATCAACGAGCCCAGCAGTCTCCATTTCAAAGCATATGACATCTAGTTGTCGAGCCAAGTCATCCCGAGTCGTGCCACTTCTCATAACCTGGTTCCCCGAAGCTATTGCGCCGTAATGAATCATTATCTCGTGCCCCATTCGGCTGCCCCGTTTCACGAGCTTTGACTGATCACATCCGTCACAGCCATGGCTTACGGATTCGTGATTATATGTCGCTTGGAAAAGACGGTCTGGCATATTTGGGCGACTATATGCGGGATAACAGCCTAACTTCTGTTGCAGGATTGTTGGGACTCGACTGGGACTCAATTCGTGCTTCGAACGTAGGGCAGACACAACCGTCCCGAGTGACTGGTGAGGAATCCTGGGTACTGCTGTTCGCAGTAGCTGTCCGTCTCTAATGAGTTTGCCAAGGTCACACTGCATCACTCTTGTTCCAACAACGATATCACCCAGGCGTAGATCAGCCCTGCTTGGTACACCGCCACCGATCCCTACCATCAGGCAGATGCGAGTTCTTTGGAACGTTCGCAACATGTTGGTCGCGACTATCGCTGCATTGTTTGTTCCGTACTGCCCGTCCGGTAAACACGCAATAACAACATTGTGCTGCTTGATGCTTCCGACGACGTAGGTATTGTTGTCATCTGTATGCTTTGGCGGGGTTTCGTGGACCTCATCTAGCATGGCCCGAGCTGCTGCCATCTCTATGTGCAGCGCACAGATCCACCCGACCGTGTACTGGTCATGTCTTGAGGTGGGCAAACCATGGTGGAACGTCTTCTGTCGCTTCGGTTGGTGTGATAAACATGTCTCAGTATTGTCGTCAAAGTGTAACATTTCCCCGTCCATCGTGGCGTCTAACGATGATCTAGGAGCGGCTCTATGTTTCTCGGCGGATAAACAACATAGTCACTAGATTTCGTCCATAAGACAAACGGCGTTTGGGGGAGGTATCACTGTTGGAATACTTTTTGAGACAAAGAGAGGTGAGAGATAGGAATGGAAGGTACATTAAAGAGATGTGGACAGTCCAGAGACATTTGACTCGGGGCGTCAGGAACACAGCCCCGGTGGTATGGGGAAACTACCTACGGTAATAATGAGGCTGATGACGGGAGGAGAGGCACACTAGCCTGGTTCACCGCCTAAGCGAGTGTCCCACTGTCCCCTAAGGTATTGTTATTATTGGGGCAAAAGCTGACAGGGGGTAAGTCCTGGGTGTCACACTAGATGCTACATAGTTCTGCCCAGAGTTACTAGTTTCATTGGTAAAATGGGCTATGATGTCAAAACTTGAGTAGTGAAAATATCCATTCCTCGATGGTCTAACGGTCATGATTTCCGCTTGTCACCTGCCCAGGAACAAGCGCGGGAGACCTGGGTTCGACTCCCAGTCGGGGAGATTTTTTTCACTTTTTGTCTTTTTTTGTGTATCCTGCTTCCCGAATACCGTGATCGATTTTGTTGCAACTGGAAGAGCTGACGCATTTTTATTTTTTATTTTGGCCATCGGTGCAGTTGTCCATGGGTTGCTTTTCGGTGGGTTGTTCTCCATTTGTATGCGGAGGTATAGATATATGCAAACACATACATACACATACATATATATATACATCTTATAGGGAAAGGCTCAAGCAGGTCTTTCTAGGTTCATCGCAATTAACTTTTTTCAGAACACGACCGATCTTGGCTGGACGACTAACTAATTGGTCATGTCAGATTGGTCGTATAGAGAGGTGTCTCGTCCACTGGAACGGGACAACGAGTGAAGATACTGGACATGGACAAGATCCATGGCATGCTATAAATCAGCCAGTTCAGGCGCGGCGCACAGTAGACTGGTCATTATCCAGAGCCTCGGTGGCGTCGTTCAATGCCGTTGCAAAACAACAGCTCCTGATATACTATTTGTCCGTACGCTCTCTCCTGCCACCTGCCAATTAGTATTGACTCTGGAAGTCTCCAGAACCACCTTAGATTTAAGAAATGACATATCACGGATTTCTGTTGCTCATGTGTGCATATTTGTAGTGGCGTCTGGCGCGCTGTGTAAGGCTTTGGAGGTGTCACAACCTCAACAAGGTTAAGCATAAATTAAGCGAACCGAACTTCGGTAGAACATATCTTCTCCACCAGATCTATTCGATCGGGAAATTACTATAGTACGTAGTGATAGTCCGTCCGTACTTATAGAAAGACTGGTGCCTAGCCTAGTCTTGAAATGATGTCATTGCTCCCCGTTTCCTTCCCATAGGTCAATAGCATCACTACAGCCGGGGATAGAACAACCGAGTTGAGCCAGGCAATCCCGATATGCCCTTCAAGCCATACCATGTCGCATTTGGGGTCCTCCTGGTGATACTGCTGATGTGTTTCAGAGATTCTTCCAGAAGTAAGGGTCGAAGTCGAGTTCGAGGTCGCAAGTCCAAGCAGCAATTGCCGAGAATGGTTTCCTGGAATGTTTATGACCTGTGCCATGGCGACCGGACCGTCAGCTCGGAAGTTGCTGAGAACCCAGCAAAGGCTCCTTATCAGATATTTAAGGAATTGTACGAGGATATCGATGCGAAGAAAGGTTCCGAGTCGAGCAGTGACGAAGAAGACGCCGGAACGGTTGGATTGAGGAGGGCGAAGGAGTGCGGGAAATGGGGAGGCGCGGAGCCCAGTCCGTTGTTTCTGAGGGTAGCCATGCTTTTCCTTCGTTTCTTCTGAGAAGGAGTGTAGACTGGTTGACTGTGCTAGATATACCATGACGCGCTGTGCACGTTGGATAAGAATCCGCTTGCGGGAGTGGTCTCCCCGCCGTTGATGGGGAGTAACGGTGTGCTGCCGTTGACGGTCGTAGCCCCGTTGCCCGATATTTGTCGCCACATGGCGAACTGCATTGTGCGTGCTGAGAAGGAGGTCTTCCTGGCTACGAATTATTGGATCTATTCGGATGCGTCGGCGATCATTACCGATGCCTTGAAGGAGTTGTCCAGACGGGCTGGGAAGCGCGGAGAGAAGGTTGTTGTGAAGGTTCTCTATGACCGGGGGGATCCGAGGCAGGTGAGTTACTGCGTACTGCAAATTCAATGGAGTTACTGAGAACTAGGTATGGGATAATCGTCTCAACGTCGACGAGAAGCACTACTCAACGGGTAGAGTCCACCTACCTGCATCAAGGGACGTCCCGGATCTCGATATGCAGGTGATAAACTACCATCGTCCGATCTTTGGGACGTTTCATGCCAAGTTCATGATTGTAGACCGGCGGATTGCGATCCTGCAGAGCAATAATATTCAGGATAATGATAATCTAGAGATGATGGTGCATGTTGAGGGCCCGATTGTGGATTCCATCTACGACACTGCGCTGATATCTTGGGGAAAGGCGTTGGAGCCTCCCCTTCCAATGCTGGGTTCCCCTGCTGCGGCTACTCCGGTGTGTTGTTTCTTAGATGGCGTGGATGCTAAGGAGACGGATGCGGTGCTCCCACAGCATACCACGGAAGATCCTCATTACGATCTCGACATAAAAGGTGAAACGAGGAGAGCGAACGGGCTGCTTAAGCCTCGGGACGGAGAGTCGCGGACGCAGGCCGTTTCTCGTCATCTAAGTATGTCTCTCGAGTCGGGTCGACCCTAAGCTGACAGACAGACCACACGCTTCAGCCGTCAACCACGGGCGACGCCCCTGACGAGGACCAGGTGAACGGATCAGAACCTTATGTCCTCTTACCACCCCATGAGCCATTTCCGATGGCCTTGGTAAACAGAGAGCCCTACGGCTGTAAGCGCCAATCTCTCGCCTGCGGTATCTATGCTAACTAAACCAGCCCCCAACCACACAAGCACAATGGTCCCGCAAAATGCAGCATGGCTCGCTGCAATCAACAATGCCGAACACTCCATATTCATCCAAACTCCCAATATGAACGCCGAGCCGCTTTTGGAGGCCCTCCTCGACGCGGTGCGCCGCGGGGTGGTCGTAGCATGCTACCTTTGTCTCGGCTACAATGACGCGGGTCAATTACTTCCATTCCAGAACGGCACAAACGAGATGATTTCCAACAGGCTGTACACGTCGCTGAGCACAGACGACGAGCGTTCCCGACTCCAGATCTTCAATTACGTCGCGAAAGACCAGACCCGGCCGATACATAATACATTCAAGACCCGCAGCTGTCACATCAAGCTCATGATCGTCGACGAGAGGGTTGCCATACAAGGTACTACCATCGTTCTTTGCATAGCATGACTTACGACTAATAAAGTGGATAGGAAACGGCAACCTCGACACGCAATCCTTCTACCATAGCCAGGAGGTGAATCTCCTCCTCGACTCCCGGCTGGTCTGCCGTACCTGGTTAGAAGCATTGAATCGGAACCAGAACACAGCCAAGTACGGCCGTGTCAGTCCGGACGATGGCTGCTGGCATGATCCGGTCACGGGGGAGCTTCCTAAAGGGTCACTGGGGATTGATCCGGGGAGGTTCAGCTGGGCGAGGGGAGTGGTTGGGGCTGTGCAGAGGGTTCGGGGGGTAGGTGGCTTTTAACGTTGCCATATGGATATTCTCCATTCTGTTCGTCAGGTGGCTCGATAAATTTCAGCTGTCTATGGATATACATGGTTTATACCAGTATTCCTATGTAGTGTGCAGCCTCGGCACATATTATACGTAGCCCTACACCCGAATTGATAAACTGCAATGCAATAATGACCAGCACCAAACAACCAGCATATCCTATCTGTACCGTAGCCTTAAAGACATATACATACACACCTATTACTACCTACCTATTGGTCTCAATAGACAAAAACAAAAATGGAAAAATAATGACAAGGGTGGGATTCGAACCCACGCCATTTTCATGACACGGAATTGGAAATCTTTACAGAATTCTCAAGTTGATTCAGTTAGCCTGAACCGTGCGCCTTAGACCACTCGGCCACCTTGCCTGATGAAAATTAGTTTCGAAAATTGAACTACTTCAGTGAAAGCAAAAAATTGCCAATATATATACCCCAATGAATTGATCTTAACTTGAGTAATACTGTTCCAGCAGCCCCAGTATAAAATAGAATGAATGCAAGAGAGAGTCACAAGTTGGTTTGCAGCTAGTACATCATAAGTCCTAATGCATTTGTTTGGAAATGGGCACCTAACTGGCAGCAGCCTCCAGGCGTTAACCTAACAATTCAGCGGCAGTTTTGAAGGTCGCCGAAAATAAAAAGTGACCACCACCTCCTCCATTAAACTCATAGCCTACGTAAAATTCCCGAGGAACAGCCGTCAGTAGGTAGTCACGACTGTATGCATAGCTATGCTCCATGACCTTATCATCATGATTGCGAAAGATCTCAAGGAAGTTGGCAATCAGATTCGCAATATTCTCCAGCCAGAAGCCAATGTTCGCAAAATCCCCAATGGGCCCTGGGATGAGTCCAATTAGAAAGTCCAAGTCTTCGTCGCCCACGCTGAGAGAGAGATAGGAGCTGTGATTGGCAACCTCGCGCATGACTTGGATCAGCTTGTCGTACCATTCGGAGCTGCTGTGGTCTGCCTCCCAGCAGATAATGTGGCCGGCGCAAGCATTCTCGACGTAGCCCCTGTAGACCGGGGGTTCTCTAGGAAAGGATCTTTGCGTGCCTGTGGTGACGGAGCCGAATTCGCCTGTCCGATGCGCAACCTCGGCTTCACCGTCACCACCAAAGCCCCAGGTGAAATATATTTCGTCCTTGCCGGCTTCACCAGATTCTTTGTAGCACTTGAAGAGCTCCGGTTCAATCTTCATGGGGATCATGATCTTGCCGCCAGGTCCTATGCGGCCACTCATCTTGCCTCGTATCTCGTCTTCGTTAAGTGCACCTTTACTCGAGTCCTTGCTGACAGTGAAGATGTTGACGCCCCGCCCCAGCTCACTCGAGGCCTTGGCGAATGCGTCGGTTGTCTCGATCGTACCATCCGGCTTGATCTGCTCGGGCGTGACAGCCCGAATATGCGGCTGTTGCAGCGTCGCCACCGCCAGCTCTTTGACATCAGCCATGAACCTCTCTCTGGTGTACGGAGTCTCCTCGGAAAGGGTCGTGATGGAGCTGGGAATATTGGCCGCCACAAACCCTCCAGATCGGGAGATGGTTTTGGCCTCGGCACAGATTTCCCCGTAGGTCTTCAACTCCTCCTCGCTCTCGGCCATGATGTCGAAGAACTTGACGCCTATGTTCTCGATCTCGGTCAAATTGGTGACTCCCTTGCTGCGACGGGCCATGCCATGGATCGCAGCACCCAGTATGATGTTGCTACCGGGCTGGAGAAGTTTGGCATTTGCTGGCGCAGACTTGGCACGGGCCCATTCTTTGAAGCGGTTAATGCGCGTTTCAGGGGTGAAATCGGCCATCTTAAGAAGAGAAGAGGATAGGGAGTTATCCTCTAAAGGGATCTTGACTGATGTGATAGAGAGTGTTGAGTGGAACTAGTTTGATCAAGTGATGGAAGAGGAAGAGCAATTTTCTTGTTTCCAAAGCACAAGCAGTGGCATCTACTTGCAGAGATAAAAACCGTCTATTTATGTGTTCTTGGAGGAAGATGTTTCCGCAGCCTGCAGGAGAAGTAGGTCATGTCTAGGTACTATTGAACTAATGCCTAAATACAGTGCGTTACTGCCTTGCAGGGATACTTTAACAAAAGGGCTCCCCTCCGCAAGTTTCTTCCGTTGGGTTTAGCCAGTGAAAGAAAATGCATGG